CGCATCGTGTCCTGGGGTGGGTATCACACCGTGTCCCGGTGTCTCACGCCGTGTCCCGGTGTGTCACGCCGTGTCCTGGTGTCCCCAGCTGCCCCTGGACAGCACCACGCTGCCCGAGGCCGAGCGCAGGGCCCGTCTGCGCCGGCACTTCCCCAGCAAACCCAAGCCCAAGACCGAGGAGACCTTCGAGGGCATCGACCTGGAGACCTACAAGAAGTTCTGGAAGAAGTGAACGCAGAATTAATAAATAAATAAACAAGCAAACCAACCAACCAACCAGAGCCGTGTGGTGCCGGCGCGGTTCCGCGGGGCTCCCCCCGCGCTGGGTGGACGGTGGTACCGCCCGGTCCGTCCCCCCCGCCCGTGCCCGCGGTGGTAGCGCCGGGGCGGGCGCGCGCGGCGGCCGGAGGTGCGTGAGGGGAGCGGCGGCGGATCGGGGGGATTTGGGGGGATTTGGAGGGTCCGTGTGTGACACCGCGGGTCGCACCCGCCTGTTCCTCGCACTCCCCCCATACCGAGGGTGCAGGGATCACCCCCCCGGCGTGCTTCACACGCCCCCGGGACGGGCAAACCCCCCCTCAGGCCCCGCAGGCCCTGTGGCTTCCCCAGGCCTGAACCCCCTCCCAGACCCTGACCCTGAACGCCCCAGGCCGTGAACAACCTCCCCCTTGGCCCTGCAACCCCCTCCCAAACACTGACCCCCCCTCCCCAAGCCATGAGCTCTCCCCCCACTCCTTTCCGTCCCTTCAACCCCCTCCCAGACCCTGGAACTCTGTCCCACTGGCGATGAACCGCCCCCTCCCCAGGCCGTGCAACGATCTTCCCTCCAGGCCGTGTAACTGCCTCCCCAACCGCTCAAACTTGTAATTACCCTCCCCTAGGCCCTGACCGCCCCTTCCTTCCAGCCCTAAATAGCCCCTGACCCTCCTGCCCCACCTTGGCCCTGCAACCCCCTGCCAGATCATGATTCCCCCCCAGGCTGTGATATCCCCCCCCACTTCTGGCCCTGAACCCCCCCATCCAGACCATGACCCCCTCCCCTTCCAGCCCTGAAACCTTCCCCCAACCTGTAACTGCCCCCCACCTCCAGACCATGAACCCCCTCCCATCAGCCCTACAACCCCCTCCCAGACCGTGAATCCCCCCAGTCCATAAATCTGTCCCCTTCCAGCCCTGAACCTCCCTCCTCATGCTGCGACCCCCTCCCAGCCCCTGAACCCCCTCCCAGCCCCTGAGTCCCCCCACAGGCCGCACAACCCCCACCTCAGGGTTATACAACCAGGTCTTTGGTTCCCCCACCCACCCCTGAGGGGGCCACATTTGCTTCCCCCAAATCCAGGAGCCCTCCCAGGGCTGCACAGGGGACCCAGGGTGGTAAATCCTTTTTGCAGGTCACCAACCCCTCCCCAAATCTGCTGTGGGGTCTGGCACCATGTTCGGCTCATCCCGGGGTGGGGTCCGGGGGGGCCAGGACCAGTTCAGCTGGGAGGATGTGAAGACGGACAAACAGCGCGAGAACTACCTGGGTAAGGGCTGGTCCTGCCCAAACTCGCCCTCCCTGCCCACCCCAGTGCGGTTTTGGGGTGCGGGTGGAGGTTTTGGGGTGCAGGTGGAGGTTTTTGGGGGTGTTTGTCCCCACAGGGAACTCGCTGATGGCGCCGGTGGGGCGCTGGCAGAAGGGGAAGGACCTGACCTGGTACGCCAAGGGCAAGAAGGACACGGCCCCGCCGTTATCCCGGGAGGAAGAGCTGGCTGCCGTCCGCCTGGCCGAGCAGGAGGCCATGATGGCAGCACTGTGAGTCCACACACCCCCCACACACACCCCCCAAAAACAGGGGGTGCAAATCCTCTCCCCCACACGCATCACCCGCTTCTGTTTTTGTAGGGGCTACAAGAACGTGAAGAGGCAGCCCACGGGCCTCAGCAAGGAGGTAATGTGGGCAGTGTGTGTGTCCCCACATCCCTGGGAGGTGTCCCCTCCCCTTGGCTCTTTTTTGGGAGGGGAGACACGCCCAGGACACTCTTCCCCCTCCCCTTCCCACAGGACCTGGCCGAGGTTTGCAAACGGGAGGGCGCCGAGCGGGACGACAAGGACGTGGATCGGGTGGTGGGTTTGGGCAGCTCCAGGTATGGAGAGAGACGGGGGGGATCCCACACCAATTCCAGAGCAATCAGATTTTTTGATTTTACCTTTTTTAAGCTTTTTTTTTCGTGTGGTCTCTTCACAGTGGCAGTGCAGGCCGGGTGATGCTCTCCAAGGAGGACAAGGAGGCGGCCAAGATGGGGCTTTCTGTGTTCACGGTACAGCACTGGTTGTGTTGTCCTTGGGAGGTTAAAAAAGAGATGGGAAAAGGCAAAAAAATGGAATATTTTAATTTAAAATATTTAAATATTTATTTAGAAACCAAACCTGGGCGTTGTAGCACGGAGACCTGCAGGAGCTCCCCATCTCCTGAGTTAATTTGTGGGGCTTTAATTTTTCTCCCAGATTGCATTTAATTTTATTTCATTTTTTTTCAAATTTAATTTTTAAAGGGGGAAAAAATCCCTTTTTCTTGTAATTCAAAGCTGTGGGCTCATGGACTTGCTCCCTGTTTTTCCCCCCCCTCTCCAACCCTAGCACCAGAAAGTCTCCAGCAGCCCTGAGACATCTGGCTCCAGGAAGAAGCAGGAGAAGGAGGAGAAGGTGGAGGAGAAACGGTGAGTTTTCCCACTTTGGTAGGAAACCACCTGAAATGGCCTGGTTTTTGCAGGGAATGTTTTGCAAAATGCTTCCGTGGCTCCCTTTGGCATCAAGTTTGTTCTGCATCTGCCTGGAAAACTCTGCTTTCCCCCCAAAACCTCTTTGTTGTTGTTTATTTCTGTGGCTTTCTCCTTGGCCAAGGGATGTGCCTGGAGGGAGGGATGAGGATGAGTTTTTGGAGGAGCCAGAGGGATGCACAGGGCAGGCATTCTCAGTGCTTGACCTCTTCCCTGCAGACCAGAGAGCAACAAAAAATCCAAAAAGGAGAAAAAGAAGAAGAAAAAGAAGAAACATAAGAAGGAGAAGAAGAAAGACAAGGACAAGCATGCCAAGAAGGACACTGCCCCATCGTCGTCCGACTCTTCTCCAGATCGGGAAAAGAGGTATGGGCTGGGTTGGGGGCTGAGCCCTGATCTTGGGGCATCACTACTGGAAAATGGGATGAAGGATTTAGGAGAGCCACGTGGTCTGGCATTCCAAAATCCCTTTATCGCCTCCAGAATCACCTTGTTGGTGTCCCTGCTGTCCCTGCTGTCACTCACCCCTCTCTCCCTGCAGGCACCACCGAAGGAAAACACATCAGCACTCCGAGACATCGCGGCACGACACGGATTCCTCTGGGAGCAGCAGGGATTCGGGGCGGCATTCCCGGCGGAGGCAGAGCCAGAGCAGGGACAGGGACAGCAGGGACAGGGACAGCCGCAGCCACCACCCGTCCCCGAGGCACAGGGGCAGGAAGAGGAGCAGGAGCAGGACCCCCCCATCCCGCGGGGTCAGGCAGCGCCACGACACCAACTCGGACTGAGAGGGATCCCGGGATCGTTCCGGGGAGATCCCACATAGGATTTATATTTTTTAAGGTGGTTACATTAAAAAAGCTGCAGCTCTGCAGGCGCAGAGTCTGGCAAAGGGCATTAAGTTTGTGATGCCAGCAGCCCCTGCTCACCCCTGGGGGCAGCAGGTGCCTGGGCCCCCTCCTCCTCACTCCCTGGATCCATCCATCCATCCATCCAGGCAGGATTTAGCACAGATGCTGTGGGGTGGGGGCTGGTGCTGGGATGGTTCCAGCTGTGGTGCTGGAAATGCTGTGGATACCTCATGTCTGTGTACAGAGACTTTGAAAGAGATTATTATTATTATTATTATGTTTTTTATCTTCTTCCCCTGCCCTCGAGTGCCTGCCAGCACAGTGGTTGGAATAGAGTTTCTTTCTTTAAACATTCCCTAAATTCACAGCTGCATGGAAGGGACCTTTTGGCTCATCCAGTTCCACCCCCCTGCCATGGGCAGCAACTCCTTCCACTATCCCAGCTTGCTCCAAGCCCCATCCAACCTGGCCTTGGACACTTGAAATAATTCCTTGGCTGACAGGGAGATGGATGGGACCGGAGTGTCTTTCCCTGGCCACGTGCACCCATCCCAGGGAGCAGCAAACTCTGTTCCCATCCAGGATTTAAACCCTCAAAACATGAGTATTTATGTCCTGGGTGCACTGAAAAAAGGCAATTTCCCATCAGTAAATAGGAACACTGCTGTGAATGGGAAGGGGTTGTCCCGAGCAGCTCCGGAGCGTCGCTGGGTCCGGCGGGGCCGTGCCAAGCACAAGGGCCTCGTTTGTGTAATTAATGATGCAATTTAAGACAGGGAGGGTTTGTGTGTCTTGGTGGACAAAGGCCCAGCGGGATCGGGGTGAGGAGCTGACAAAGCCCTTCTGTCCCACGTCCCTCCCCGGCCGTGAGCACGTGCTGGGCACGGGCAGCGGGAGAGGCTGCGGAGCGGCCGCAACCCTCGGGGATCCCCCACACCAAGAGGCTGTTTTGGGGGGGTGACAAACTCCTGGCAGGGTCACAGGGCTGTTCCTCCTGGTCTGAGCAGCTCTAAATCCAGCCCAGGGATGGCAGGAAGAGTGGGGTGGCCCTGAGCCCGTGCACTCCCTTGGCTGGGGGCTCTGACCCTACTGGTGCTCACCAGGCTGAGCTCAGGGTCACCCTCCTGGCATTTTTGGGGATCCTGGATGCAACTGGAGCCTGCTGGGAGCATCCCAGTGCGGGGCAGCGATGGGCATGGTGGAGCAGGGCTGTGCTTCGTGGGAACTCGGTGCTGGGAGCAACAGCCTGGAAAGGGAACTGTGGGAGAGTGAAAACACCACAGGGAGCAGAGAAAGAAAAACCACAAATCCCCATGTCCTGTTCCTTCCACGGGATCCTGCTTTCCCTGCCTTCATCTCCCAAGCAGAGGGGACGGACGCTCTGGGCAGAGCTGGACTCACAGCTGCTCCACACGTGTCCCAGCCAGTGCCAGAGGTGCTGATGTGCCAAGCACGATGCCAGCGGGGCCGTGGCACAGCTGTCCCGGCTCAGTTCAGCTCTCCTGAGCTTTCTCCTGCCTCTCCTGTGTCACAGCTCTCCCCTCTTCCTGTTTCACACTCCAAGACCTGAGTAAAACAGTTTGAGAAATGTGGATAAGCCAAAACTGAGGGTGAGGGGGCTGTGAAGGAGCCAGGCCCCACTGAAGGGCTGCTCACCCCAAAACC